AAAAAAAAAAAAAAAAAAAAAAAAAAAAAAAAATATATATATATATATATATATATATATATATAATTATTGTTTTTTTTCTTTTTAAGTACTATGCCTTTCCAGTGGTAAGGGTGAGTCCAACAGGCTGCTGCAGTAGAGGCGCCTAAGGCCTGGCCCTTTCAAGGACATCATGTGTGTTCAGCCTTATCTCCTCTTAACTCCCCCAACATACCTATCATCTGCCAGGTCTGGAACTTCGCCTCTCTCCCTCCCTGCAGTTGGCTTGGTTCCTAACAACCTCCCTGAGTCCTGTCTCTAACTCTGTACTTTGTAACCCATTCCAATACCACTGTCAAAATGATTTTCCTAAAAGGGCCAAATTTCTCAGCATTGTTACTTAAAAAAACAAAAACAAAAAAAAAACCAAAAAATAAAAAATTATTCAATTGTTATAACTTTAAACAAAGGCAATAAAGATAAAAATAATAAAAATCATGTCACTCCTCTACCTAAATAAAACCCTACTGCTTGAGGATAAAGTCCAAACTCCTGGGCCTGATTCTTAGGGCCCCTCCCTGATAGCTAGCTCCTGCCCACCCATGCACCTTCCTTCCAGCCAGTTCTCAGCCTACACCTGCTCTCCATTCCACAAGACCTGTTCCAGGAAACCCCGCCCTCTGTCCTACGCTGCCTCCAGCTCATCCATTGCCAGGGCTGCAAGGTGAGCTACCAGTTCGGGGTTCTGTGTCCCAACAGACTGCTTGAGATGAGACATGCAAAATGAGAGTTGCCTTTTGATTTAAGAGTCCAAGAAAGGGCAAGCTTCCTGTGCAGACTAGACAAAGGGTGGAACTGATTGGCAAACCTGCTTGCTCAGAGCAAGCAGCAGGCCCTGGATTAGTGTGGTCTCTGTTCTCTAGGTTTCAGTCTATATTGGTAGCCATCAAAGGAAATGTGGGCAACGCTGCATGATGAGGACCAAAAAGTTCACAGGCCAAACTTAACAAGAGAGCTGTGGACAGGTCAATGAGTTGCTGGTGGGCCTGTGGGTTGCTTCATAGGAAAAATGAGCAGGTGGGTGGTGGCAGTGTGCTTTGTTAATCCCAGCCCTTGGGAGGCAGAGGCAAGGCAGAGCTCTGAATTCAAGGCCAGCCTGAACTAATAATCAAGGACAGGCAGGGCTACACACAGAGAAACCCTGTCTGGAAACAAACAAACAAAAACGAAAAGGAGATGCATGTAGCTCAGAGATGGGGAGCTCACCTAGAATGCCTAAGGACCTGGGTTGGATCAAAAAGTTAAGTCAACATCGTGAAGACCATCTCTGTGTGCTGCTTTAGTCACTTTCCTACCCTACGCTGAAATTGTTTATCCTTCCCCTCCTCAGTTCCAGGGATGGAGCCCAGTGATTTGCCACATCCCAGCCCCTAGTCACGTTTACTCTGGGTATTAATTGACAGTGTTGTGACCTGGGCTGGGGATGTGGCTCATTTGATAGAGTTCGTGACCAGCATGCATAAAGCACCCGGGTTGATGCCCAGCACCGCATAACCCCAGGTACCGTGGTGTACACCCGTTACCCAACACTTAGGGAAAGGGGAGGCCATCTTTGGCTATGTCAGCAAACACACTGAAGCCGTTAAATGCAGTTTGCTTCCCTCACCATCGCTAGTGGCTGCGATTGCCCCGATATGTCACCACGCCTAGTTTATGTCGCCGAACGCTGGGCTCGCACTCTGCCAATCCTCTGAGCCTACATCCTCAAGCCCACTTCTGTGAGGATTTTAATACTTGATTGCTTTGGCAGCAAAAACAAAATAACTTGAGATGTTGGTGACTTTCATTTCATATCTCTCAGAATTTTCTTGAGCCATCAAGCATAAATGTCAAGAATATTCAGAGCCAGCAGTGGTGGGGTGGCTCATGCCTTTAATCCCAGCATCCCCTGGGGAGGGGTCGGGGAGGGAGGAAGACCTCTGTGAGTTCAAGCTCACCCTGGTTTACATATTGAGTTCCAGGACAGCCGGGACTACACAGTGAGACCCTGCCTCAAGAAATAGCTAAATAAATAGGAAATCTAATTAACAGTGCTTAAAACTATTAAAAATACTGAAGAACACAGTATGTGGAATATACCAGAGAAATGATGTATCTTCTAATGTGCATGTTGAAAGTTATGAGCTATGAAAGCATACGGAGCTGTTGACCACAGAATGAAAAAGTCATTTTGTCCTGAAGTAGCAGGTTATTTTAGAACAAAAAAGGAGAAGACAGAGCAAAGGCTGAATGGATAAAAAACTGGAAAAAGGAAGACTCTAGTGTGGTCAGACCAACTAAGACAAAATAATTATTTTAATTTACGATTATTGTGTGCATCTGAGAGTGCAGTCATGTGGGGTCAGTCATGTGGGGCATCTGTCCCCTGTTTCCCCCATAGTCCTCATACGTATGCAAATTTAACTTTACCAGTTGCTTTTCTTTCCTTCTTTCTCTTTCTTTTTTTTTTCCTCTCTTCCTTCCTTTCTTCCTTTTTCTTTCTTTTCCTTTTTGCCCTGAGACTAGACAGGGTTTCTCTGTGTAGCCCTGGCTGTCCTGGAACTCATTCTGTAGATCAGGCTGGCCTTGAACTAAAAAAGATCAGACTACCTCTGCCTTTGGAGTGATGGGGTTAAAGGAGTGCTCCACGGCTGCCCAGCACTCTACCAATTTCTAAATACTATCTGGCACTTTATTAATTTCTTATAATCAAATACTATCTATCTCTCACCTAGCATTACTTCTTCCTGGAAAAATTTTCAAAAAAAGGTATTTACCCAGGTTTGTTTTTGTTTTTGTTTTGTTTTGTTTTGTCTTCAGATAATGCCAATACACAACAAAGGTAAAACTTAAAATATATCCAGGTTTCTTGTATAAACTGGTCATTATTATTTATAAAGGCAAAACTGAGGCTGCTGAGATGGCTCAGGGGTTAAGAGCACTTGCTCTTTTTCCAAAGGACCTGAGTTCAATTCCCAGCACCCACATTATTTTAAAAAGCAAAACTAATGATTGCTTTCTTTATAAAATACTCACTGCTTCCTTTAATTCTGGCATCCAAAAGGCTGAGTTTGGGATCTGGGTGCTACCTATGCAGACAAACTAATTTGGCCTTGTTTCTAAAGCAAATGTAAAAAGAGTGGGGGTGGGGCGGGGCGGGACTTGATATAAACACCCCTCCCGATGATCTTGCAGCTATCCTGTCGTCCTATGACAGACAACATGTGAAGCAGAGTTTCCTCTAGAAGAGAGTGTATCTGATGAGTGTCGATGACTCAGTCAGCAGAGTGCTCACGGCCCAAGCCTGAGGACTGGAGTTTTTATCCCAGAACCCACAGAGCCAGGATCATTGGTGTATGCTTTAAGTCCTAGCACTGGGGATGTGGAGACGCCAAGGTTCCCTGGGGCTTGCTCAGCCAACCTAGCTGAAATGAGAGCGTTCCAGGTTCAGGGTGAGAGTAACTGGGGAAGAGCAGCCTCTAACCTGGACACACACATGACTGCACACGGACACACAGAGGGTTGTTATTAAAATGGCTTTTTAAAGAATGTGCCTTACATACTTAAAATACTTTGCATATAGTCGATAATCATGCTTCAAAAGCAAGCCAGCCCCTCACACTACCATTTCATTTAGGTTTTGTGTAATCCTTGATGGCATTGTACGTTGATTACATGTGACATATCCTGAAGTTAAAAAAAAAAAAAAATGCTGCTTGAAAAGAATTATTCTAGGTGGACATTCGGTTTGTAGCAGCAGAGCGTGAGCCTCGTATCTGCCGAGAAGGAATTGTTAGGTGGTGTTCGTTCGTGAGTCAGGTTTTCGACATATTTCCTAGCAGCTGTTTCCCAAGTGTCTGGCAATGGTTCTGTCACAGAAAGCCAGATGATGACGCACATCTACCGTCGTGCGTGAATGTGCCCCCAATTCAGACTCTGTTTCCACTTCCTGTCCTAATGGCCCTTTTACGTTTCTGGTCCTTGTCAGCGTTGGGTCATTTGTTTTCTCTCCTTAATTTTTCTTTCTCAGCCACATGAATCCCGTATGCTTCTTACACTGCAGTTTCTTCTGCCTGCCCCTCTAGGATTGTTTTATCTTTTTTTTTGGTTGACTTCCAATTCATGGCTTTGTGGCGTCCCCTGGCCTGAAGTAAAAATCCAGGTGTGTCTGAAGGTCAGGGATGCATTTCTCTGTGGAAGGTTGTGTTCTGAGAAGCACCAGGGCTCCACAGACACATTCTCAGCAGAGGGCTGGTGAGGTGCCTCCGATGGCTGGGCAGCAGCGCGGTGGCTGTGACCCAGGCTGGCTTGGATCTGCATGAGGAGGAGAGAGAGGTTCACGTGGCACTCCTGATCATCTACTAACCCTGTGACAGTCTGGTGGCTTGAAAAGATAAGCCACAGGCTTGTTATTTTGAGACAAAGTTTTAGTGTGTAGTCTGGCTAGCCTGGCCTGGAGCTCTTTATGGAGACTAGGCTGGCCTTGAATTTACAGAGATCCACCTGCCTTAACCACCCCAGTGTTGGGATTAAAAGTATTTGCCACTAAGCCCTGCATGGTTTTCATTTTTATTTTTTAAAAATAATTTATTTAAATTTTATTTTATATGTATTGGTGTGAGGGTATCAGATCCCCTGGAACTGGGGTTACAGACAGCTGTGAGCTGCCATGTGGATGCTGGGAATTGAACCCAGGTCCTCTGGAATATTAGCTAGTACTCTTAACTTCTGAGGCCCTCTCTAGCCCCAGCTTGGTTTTTCAAGTCTTAATGTCAAAATTAGAATTAGGGGACTGAGAGGTAGCTCCGTTGGTAGAGAGTTTAACTAGAGTCCAGGAATGCCTGGGCTTCTTCTCCAGGACCACGTAAACCAGGTATGGTATGCACTCATGATGGCAACACTCGAGGGCAGTCTTCTCAGCCTTCCGTAATGCTAAGACCCTTTAATACAGCTCCTCATGTTGCGATGAGCCCCGCCCCCCAGAAAACTATTTCATTGCTACTTCATAACTGTAATTTTGCTGCTGTGATGAATTGTAATGTAAATATCTGATCTGCAGGATCTCTGATATTCCACCCCTAAGGGGTCAAGACCCACAGGTAGAGAGAGGCAGGTGCATCAAGGTCATCCTCAGCTGTAAAGCAAGTTCAAGGTCAGTATGTGATAGTTGAGAGCCTGCATTAATAATAATAATAATAATAATAATAATAATAATAATAATAATAAAATAAGACATAAATTGGGAGGCCCTGGGTTTGCGCCATCCAAGTAAAAAGCAGGACTTGATGGTCCATGCTTGTCGTCCCAGCACTAGGGAGGTGAAAGCAGGAGAATCGCTGAAGCTTGCTGGTCAGCTGGTCTTGATGAATCAGCGAACTCCAGGCTCAGACCCTGTGTCCAAAAAAGCGGGGAGAGATACTGAAGAAGACGCTGGACATTGCCTTCTCACTGCCACATGTGCCTGCACACACGTGTACGTTCATGTTCCACACACAAATAGTAATGGTAAAATAAAATAAACAGATCACAATGAGAATTTTGTAACCTACAGTCTCTTTGAGGTTTACCCTCCACCCCCCAACCTCCCCTCAACACACACACACACACACACACACACACACACACACACACACACACACAGGGTTTCCCTGGGTTAGCCCTGGTTTTCTCTTTGTAGACCAGGCTGGCCTCAAACTCACAGACATCCACCTGCCTCTGCTTCCCAGTGCTGGGGTTAAAGGCGTGGACCATCACTGCCAGCTTTAAAGTTTTTGAATTAATTATTTTACCTACTTTACACACTGACCACAGTTTCCCCTCCCTCCTCTCCTCCCATTCCTTTCCCCTCCTGCTCCCATCCACTCCTCCTCTCTTTCTCTTCAGAAAAGGTGAGGCCTCAAGTTGGTGGTAGTGCATGCTTTTGATCCTTGGGAGGCAGGGCCAGGCAGTTATCTATGAGTTCGAGGCCTGCCTGGTCTATAGAGCAAGTTCCAGGGCAGTCAGAGCCACACAGAGAAACCCTGTCCAAAAAAAAAAAAGGGGGGGGGGGGGGGGGGGGGGGGGGGGGCGGAGTGGGGGAAGGCCTCCTATGCCAGCCTTCGCCCATTAAGTTGTACATCTTCTATTGAGGCTAGACTAGGCAATCCAGCTTGGGGAAAGGGTCCCAAAGGCAAGCAAGGGTTAGAGACAGCCCCCGCTTCTGCTGTTAGGCGTCCCCCATGAAGACCGAGCTGCACACAAAACTGTTACAGAGGGCCTAGGTTTATTTACTTGGTTTTTGTCTCCCTCCCTCTTCTCCCTTCTCTCTCTCTAGCTCACAGATAGGTCAGATTGCCTGGCCATTGAGCTCTAGAGATCTACCTGCCTCTGCTTCCCTCCCAGCACCCAGTTAACAGATGCGGTCCCCCTCGATGGCTTCTTACACAGGTGTGGAGAACTGAACTCAGGTCCTCATGCTTGCATGACAGGCCCTTCACCCACCAAGTATCTCCCCAGCCCATGAGTTTTCATCAGATTTGTTTTCCTCCCAGAGATTGAATTTATACTTTGTTCCAGCCACATTGACCTTCAATTTTCTGTTTCGGCTGCTTTAGAGCACGAGGCTCTGGCGGAGGAACACACTCTCCATTGTTGGGTTCATCCTTCTGATATTTGTAGTTGTCTCCCTGGGTCTTTTCAAGGTCTAAGCTGAGTGTTCAAGGCATCCATGGTACAAAGATTGGGTCACTGTAATTAAGCAACTATAATGAGATGAACAACAAAGGGGTATTTCTCCCATGAGCATGACATCAGGACCAGTCAGCCTGGCTCTCCCAGGCACCCCACACATCCCATTCTGGGTCAGGCCAGCCTAGAGACTATCCCAGGATACTGAGCTGACGCGCACCCCAGAAAATGCTAAGTCCCTTGGGTACCCACCTTCATGGAGTCAGCCCAGCCCTCTGCCCAGGAGCCCTCCCTAACTGTAACGTTTCTGTCACCTGACATCCAGTATCTCATGGCCCACAATACAGTGAGAAGATGGACTAGGCTCCCCCTGAGGTCAGGAAAGCCCGAGGTCAAGCCCTTCACTCACTGGCCTCCTGGCTCTGCCTGTACGAGGAAGGTGACAGCAGCTGAGTGACTCAGCAGGGCTCAGTGACTGCAGCCCCTGGAGGAGTTTTGCACTGAAAGGTGATTTGAGACAGAGGTGGGGCTGGAGGCAGAGCCAGGGCTGGGCCCAGAGGGTCAGCTGCTGCTGAGTGCCCAAAGCTGCCAGGAGGCCTGCTCCACCCATCTGACCGTGCTCCAGAAGACAGTGTCATTTCCTAGCAGCTGCCAACTGTCCTCTGGCTCCCAGGGGTGGTAACTGGGTACCAGACCCCGCTTCAGGTGCGGACTCAATGTGCTTGGCGCAGCTTGCCAGAGAAGCAGCCACAGCAGTGGGAGGGGCGGGGCCCTGTCCCTCCTCCTCCTTCCAGATTCCATGGGAGGGTCTCAGCCTTGACCCTACCTGCAGGGCCCTGCCTAAGGCAGTGCCTGGGAAGTGCTGCTTTTCAAGAGCCTTCTGCCAGGGACAGACAGGAAACAGTGGGGGTGGGCTGGGTCTGCTCCTCAGCCCGGTGTGGGCCGTGTTGTGCCCGGAGGGCTCCCTGAACAGTTCCTGGCCCTCAACCACAGTCTCTGAGTAAGTGTGGGCTCGAATCCTATCCCTGCTGTTCCTGCTCCATGTCTGCCCTATGTGAGCTGTGCTGAGCCCAGGGGGGTTCAACAGCAAACAAGACAAAGCCATACCTTGAAACAGCATACAGACTAAAGGGGAACAGGCAGAGCCTAAAGTAAATCGGCGAGTGTAAGGGTGCCGTCATGAAAGCCTGAAAAGGTGACTCCCTGGCCTGTCTCAAATGGGACAGATGAGCAGGCCAATGTTAGCCTCCCTGGAGAAGGGACCTCTAATAAGGCAAATGTGAAAATACACATCTCCACCTTCATTCGTGTACAAGGGTGCTGGAAGACTGGGGAGGTCTGGCATTTGTCAGGAACGGACAGGTCAATCTAAGGGCGTGCCTAGTGTGACAGGTGAGGGGAGTGGGTACAAGATGAGGCCAGAGAAGAAAGCAGGGGAAGGGTGACCAAATGGGGCATATCAGGTCATTCTGGAGAATCTGATATGCAATGAAGAGCCATGGGAGGCCTTTAAGCTGGGGAGGTTAGGGGGGAACACCATTGTTCTGTTTTCCGCCATATCACTTTGATGTAGTTTGATGTAGTTTGTGCACCAGACTGGAAGAAGGCAGGACTGCATTCAAGATTTCATTTAAAATTGGGCCATCTGGTCTAGAGGAGGGTGGGGGTGAAGAGGAAGGCAGACTGAGCCTAAGGAGGTTAAGAAGAGGCTGAGCAGCAGGCGTGGGGGGTGGGGGCTGGGAGGAACCCAGGGTGCCTGCTAGTTTCGGCAGCAGGTGCTGCCTGATAGGGTGGGGCCCTCATCTACTCCTGGCACTTGAGCCTAGGGAGGCACCCACTCACATCTCCCTTTCCTGGACTCATAGAGAGCCCCTCCCCTTTCTGACCTCCACGCAATTTAGTTCCACCAACCATTAGTAAGTACCCATTTTGTGCTAGGCTAGCTTGGGAAGCTTCTCTCCAGATTCACCTAGTGGAGTTCTGCTGGGCAGAAGCTGAAGCAAAGACTGGAGGATGGGGTTAGCAGGGAAGAAGAAAGCTACAAACAAACCCTTCCGATAGCCAGGCCCCTCTTTCTTAAAAGATCCTAGACCTTTCTCGGCCATGATGGAAATATTAAGAGGGTCACCGCAAGGCCTTAGACAATAGCGTGAGCCCCAAGCCCCACTGTAGCAGGAAGCCCTCAGCCTCTTTCTAACCGGAAGGCCTGATGTCCTGTGGTTCCCTTCTTCTTAGATCCAGAAGAGGGACATCCCACACGACCCTTTGCCTCCTGGACTCAGCCTCTAGCCAATAAATCCAGTCCTACCAACCTGGGCAGTCTTCCAGAGGTTCTCCTGTCAACATGACAAGAGCCTATCACTGCCAAGGTGACACAGTAACTTTTTTTTTTTAACTTTTAATTTTATTGCTGGAATTGAACCCAAAGCCTGTGCCTCTCCCACAAAGCTGCACTTCCAGCCAAGGTATAGTGAACTAAAAATGTATCCCCTTTACGTGGAGGTTTTTTGGCTGTTGTTGTCATTATTAAGTTTGTTTTGTGTTTTTGAGACAGGGTGTCTCTGTGTAGGCTTGGCTGCTCTGGAACCCACTTTGTAGAGCAGGCCAGCCTTGAACTCACAGATAGATATGTCTGCCTCTGCCTCCCGAGTGCTAGGACTCAAGGCCTGTGCTACCACCAGGTTTTTATTTTTATTTTTATTTTTGAGGAGCTGTAGCGCTGGCTCAGTGGTTAGGATTGCTTGCCTTTTTCCCAGAAGACCTAAATTCAGTTCCTGAGTTCCTGGCACCGGTATTCAGCTCACAATCACTTGTCACTCCAGTTCCAGGTCACATGCCCTCTTTTGACCTCCATAGATAACCCCCAACACAGACATATACATAAATTAAAATTAAAAAATCATCTGTTTTTAAGTTATTAATTTTTTTTTTTTTTGGTAGATAATGTGATTGCTAAGTTACTCAGGCTGAACTGAACTCATTGCCATCCAGGCTGCCTTTCAACTTCCACTCCTATTCCTAGCCTCCCACTAGGCCAATATTTTATTTATAATTAAATTAATTATATTTATTTACATGTGTGCACTCGAATGCGTGCGTGCGTGTGTGTGTGTGTGTGTGTGTGTGTGTGTGTGCACACGCGCCTCTATGGAGATCAGAGGACATTCTGATGTTAGTTTTCTTTCTCTGCCACATATGTCTGGGTAATCAAACTTCGTTTGGCTTGGCATCAAGGGCATTTACCTGCTCATTTACCTGCTGAGTCATTTCTCTGCCATTTGTTTTTAATTTAATTTCATTTTATATGTATTAATGTAAAGGTGTCAGATCCCTTGGAACTGGTGTTACAGACAGTGGTAAGCTGCCATGTGGTTGCTGGGAATTGAACCCAGGTCCTTTGGAAGAACAGACAGTGCTCTTAACCACTGGGTCATCTTTCCAGCCCTACTTATTTGTTTTTTGAGATAGGTTCTGACGTGTGTAGCCCAGGCTTCTCTTAAATTAAATGTTCCCCTGCCTCAGTCTCAGGAGTGTTGGGATTATAGGCATATGACATCACAACTTGCTTGCTTTTGTTTTTTAAATTTTCTTTTTCCTTCTCTTCTTTCCTTCAGCGTCTCCAGATGTGTAGTTGCCTTAGAACTTCTGGGCTCTTGTTTCTACCTCTTGAGCGGCAGGTACTTTGGGTGTGCACCATCACACCCAAATTAATATTATCACACTTGTGCAGACAAATTGTAGGGTTGCTTTCTGTGGAGACCAGGCTAACTTTTTAGAAAGGAGGGAGGCCCATCCATCCTAGGAGGTCTGGTTATTTGAATGACAATA